AGTGGGTGCTGTATAGGGGGAGCATTGAACCAAGTATATCTAGAGTGATCTATCACATGTTCATTACCCTCCCTGGCATCTGCCATCATTGGACACAAGGGTGTTGGTATACTTGGCAAAGGGCGGCAGTTTCTGCCAACTTGGCCCACTTGAGATGGATTGGAAGAAAATTACTATTGACAGCTTTGAGATGGTTTCTCCAGTACTTGATGGACTGGGTATGTCTCTGGGGTTTTCCCCTTAGTATATGTTCTTGCATTCTAAGGTCTTGTGGCAAGGACTGTGTCTATGCATATGTTTCTGCAGCAGTTCTTCTCTACATTACACTAATGGCAAAAGTAAGTGGTAATAAAGGAGGCATGAGTGATGGTAGGGGAGTTCGTAGCAGGAAACACTAAGAAAAGGTGAGCTCAGGGAGGAAGTTTAGGCTGAGCTTTCCATTGGGGTTGGGAATTGCCTCTAAACTGATGGGACTGTGTGCTCTCAAGGTATGGGCTTGAGCTTTGTTTCCCAACCTTTTCCAGCCCAAGGCATGCTTACATCAATACAAATTTTCTGTGGCACACCTGTTTAAGGCATTCCCCATCCCCATGCTTCTGAGCTCATTGGAGCTTGTTGCTGCAGCAAAATTCCACGGCACAGCTGTTCAAAGGCTCACAAACTGCGTGTCCCCCACAGCCAGCACATGCACGGTAGATGAATTTCCTCCTGCTAATCTAACGAGGGTGGGTGGGTGTGTGTGTGTGTGTGTGTGTGTGTGTGTGTGTGTGTGTGTGTGTGTGTGTGTGTGTGTGTGAGAGAGAGAGAGAGCTCAACCCCTTGGCCTGGGGTCTAGATGTTACCTCTGGACCCATGTCATCCAACGTGCAGTGCTCCCCACAGATCCAAAAATTTGGCCTCAGGGGAGCAATTGCAACACTAATTTCCACTTCCCTGCTGTCAAATTTCTGGACCTATGGGGGGCCCTCTGGATAGCTTGGCCCTGCCCCTTAGATTGGACACCTGGGGATGGGGCAGCATGAGGCCTAATCCAGGCACACACAGACCAGCCTCACACCACTCATCCAACCCAAAGGAGAAAAAGGTTGAGCACCACTGTTATATGTGGTACTCTAGTTCCTTGATGCCTGATCCAACTCGCTTGGAAATTCCCTTTCTGCATTGGATCAGATGCTTTGCTATAGCAGTCCTCATTAATTTTTGTTGTCAGTGTGTTTTGAGGGGATAGTCAGCGTTTTGGATGGTAGCTCTTCACTAGAAAGGCTATACATAAGGACACAGCACCCTTATGGAAACAGACTTTTCTATGCCTCTCTGTTAGACAAAAGAGAAGGCATAAGAGCTAAGAACTTAAAAAAAGTAAGATGTGTAATTGCCAGTCCTGAGTAGAATGGGAGCTTCCCAGACTTGCAGAGCATTTCTTTGGGGTGTTAAATAGCAAGGCATGGCATTGATTGTATAAAAGATTTTCTCCCACTTTCTTATTTCATCAGTGGATAGAATAAAAAAAAAAACCCCTCTAAAAATAGTTTGGCACAATAGGAACTGTAGTCCTGTTCTAAACAACCCCCACTTCCCCTCCCCCGATCTGCTAGCTGTAATGACCCTGCAAACACTAAATGGCATTTGAGTGCATTAAGCAGCAAACTCTCTGGTGACATAGCAATTACGGCTCTGAAATAGATTTGGTGCGTCACGGAAGATAAGGGTTTTGAAAGTTTCTGTTGTGATTATAGCTTGTAACTCCAACAAATAACAGGCTTCAAAATAAGAGGCTGCCAACAGAGCCATTGTGGCTTTGCCTCAGTGATGGCACGTAAATTGCTATTAATGTCCTAAGTGTACTTGAATATGCCAGTCTCCAGGCTGCAGAGTTGGCTCAGTGTCTCTCTTTACATGGCCTGTCATTGTCGGGCTGATAATCTGTGGTAATTGCTGCCTCTTGCAGTGGTCAGAAATGTGTAAGAGTGTCTACTGTATCTTCTGGGAAGCAGTAAACAATGTGCTGCTCTGGCTGTGTGCACGCTCGTGTGTATTATATGTACGACAGCGGGTGTCTGGGTAAAATCTGTTCTTGTGTGTCTGTCTGTAAAGGTATATACATTGTGTGTATATAATAGGAATACAGTGATCTTTATACAGTCTGCATATGTATGCAAATGGGCTTATGCATATGCGGGTGTGCATGTGTGTGTGCACCCATCCACACCCAGTGTGGCTGTGTAAAATGGCGTGTGTGTGTGTATGTGCGCACATCTCTATGTATAAAGAAGGTAGGTATGGGCGTCTCTTATAGGCTGAGTATGAGTATTTAAAATAGAGCCTGAGCTTAACAGCCCATTAGGCCAATGGGGCTAAGGCAGCCTAAGTTTCTGGAGCCAAAGGTACAGTGGGGGTGGGGTGCAGCTAGCAGCACATCTGTCTGCATTGGACAGTCCAGATGACTAGGGTACCCATTTATAGCAAGGGTGGCTGTCAGCTCAAGTTCAGAACCAGACTTGAACTGACACCTCTGGAATTGCATGAGATGCCTTAACTGCTCTGTCACCTCCTCCCTTGAGTATGTGTGTGCCTGTCTGTCTACTCTGTCTGTGTGTGGCTGGCCATATCATTTGTATATGTACTGTGGATCTATGTATAGCCTGCCTGTATGTGTATATGAGAGAGAGTCCCCCTTCCCCACAAAGGCATTTTTTCATTGCAATGACTAATACCAGCAACAGAGCTAGTGTGTATTTCGCTCTTGTGGAGTCCTGCCCTTCTGGAGGCTTCAGTGGGCAATGCTTGTCCTGCATTTCGTGGCTGTGTCTCCTTTCTTCCCATTGCTGTTATTTCTTGCCAGCCTTGCCATTGCTGGAGTGATTTGGGTTGGTGAAGCATGCCCAGCTTACCCGCCCCTGCCCAAGGCAGTGGTGGTAACAGCATATGGCCCACCTGCACTTGACGTGCGCTTGGTGCTGACATCAGCCGCTTTGTGGCACCCTGGCGTATTTCTGGGTGGCAAATGAAACTGTCTTCCAGTACCAGGTTAGGTTAGGCTGTCACAGCCAGTGATGGATTCTGTGCGTCAGTGAAGCACTACAGAGGTAAGGTGCAGAGGAAGAGATGCGAGAGAGAGAGATGGCTCAGGCATGTCTAAAACAGGACAGCGGCTGCCGCCAAGTCAGGTGCAGGCAGGAGTTTGGAAGGATTAATGAGCATAGCACTGAATCAATGTCAGAGCGAGGTAAGGATTCTGGGTGCAGCATCTGGTCCTCTCCAAAGGGGACAAGCAGCTAAGGAAGAGTGGCAGCAGCCAAGGAGTGGGTAGTAACCTTCCATTCCCCTTCCCTCATACTGTACTTGGAGAGGCCAACCCCATATCCCCTTCCCACTTCAAACAGCCAAAAAAATTTGGCTCTGCTAGAAAAGCACCACATCTTTATTCACTGCCTCCCATTTACATCTGCTGACTGTTCAGGCAGATGAGTGCTCCAGCTTGCAGCCTGGGATACGGCTAGGAGAGTGAGAGCCCCATTTGACGCTGCCTCCCTGAACAGCCGGCAGGGCTGTAGGCTAAGTTGCAAGCACAGCATCTCTAGGGCTGCTGACATAAGAAGCAGAAAGATGGGGCTTCCAGAGCCTACTTAGAATTTGTGGTCAAACCCAAAGAAAAATAGTTTTGCTTTGCTTTGTCTCCCTTTGTAAAGAGTGCAAATTAGGGGCAGAATCATTGAGCGAGAATAAATCCCAAAGCCCTGGAGGTCACTTCTTGAGATTCTAATTGCACTTTAAGACAAACAGCACTGGGAGGCGATTTGTTTGCTCTTTTTATCCTATTTAATAACAACCTGCTGTAAAGGAAAGAAGGGAAGCATGCCCTGGGGTTTGTGGTGGCAATAAGGGAAGCCAGCTAACATCCCAAGTTCTGCAGCAAGTTTGTGTCCCTCTAAGCAGGCAGACTTTGCATGAAGACATGCTCACAGAAAGCTCAAGGCCAGTTCAGATGCTGGGGTCCTTTTCCTAGATCTGTTTTTAAATGGGAAGGGATTTACTAAGAACCCTCAGCCTGGCTGCATTTAGAGAGGTTCCCTGGGGAGGCAGTGTTTGGGATTTTTCCTCCAAGTTTCCATATGTGTCCTGCCCCCATAGGAGCGGCCAGTACCTAGTGTCGAGGGTATATTCACATTATGACGTGGTAGCATAGGCAGCACTTGTAATAGGTGCCAAATAGCTGTGTGTCCTAATTGACTGTAAAAGAAGCAGAAGCAGGGGCAGGGCTCTACTGCATGGCTCTAGCAGCATGCCTTGGCTCTCACAAAGATCAGCACCAAATGCTGGTTTCCTGTCTTTGTTCTGTGTTTGCAACTAACAGAACGGATCTAGGAGGGAAGCATCTAGGTGGTACAGTAGTGTAAATAAATGGTAATAATAGCAGAGCCAAGGCACAAACATCTCACCCAATGCTGGGTGTGAGCTGCATGTCTAATTTTTAGTACTGTAGACCTGTCCCATATACTTGGGATGTTTTTTAATTTTTTAGTTCTTACCAAAAAGTTCAAACTGTTTTCAGGATTGGGCTGCAGGTTTTGGCTTTAATTTTGGGGTGTCCTCTCCCTTGTACGTTAATCTGCATGGGCACAAAATAGGTGCGTCTCCTCTAACCAAAATGGTAGCACCTACATAAAGATTACTGTGGCTCATGAAAAAGGGACCACACCAGGCAAATTTGAGCAACTTGTTATGAGCAAAGCCAGTGGTGGAATTTGCATTCCTCTGCAAGAAGGCTGCCCCGTGCAGTGGAAGGAACAGTAGGCCTAATCTGCATCTCTAGGTGCATTATGTACCTTCAAAAAATCCTGCCCGGCACCCCTAGCAATGCTTAAGTCGATGGTAACAGTGGTGTGTGTGGAGCATGGCAGAAGCCAGCTGAGGATGGGGTGGGTGAGCTCAAGAGGGTGAACATTTAAATCTCATGTTTGGTATCATACAACTGATAAGCTCTCTTTGTTTCCCCTCAGGCTAATGGAGGTTGGCAAGATGCTACTACCCCCTCATCAGTGACCTCCCCCACAGAAGGCCCTGGCAGCGTTCACTCTGATACCTCCAACTGATCTCCCAGCAAATTGCATCCCTGGCTGACCCCAGTCCCCTTCAGGGGCAGGGGTGGGAGGGGAGGGGTTCTCTCCTAATGCTGAAGCAGTCAGACTGGAGGTGGAACCAATCAGCAAACACAATAAGAGTCTCCTTCTCTTCTCTTCGTCGGGATGCTTTTTCAGCCAATCTGGACACTTCTTTATACTCTCTTCCCTTTATTTTCTGGGTAGAAGCCACCCCTCCCCCTGCCACCACCACCATCCCCCTCCCAAATCCTCCCACTGAAGGATATTTTCAACAGGTAGAAGAATTTAAAGAGGGAAAAAAATAACAAAACAACAACAACAAAACGTATTTGTACATTTTCACTGGTTTTCTGAGGAGCCAAAATTTACCTCACTCTTTTACTAAAAGGCAACCACCTCCTTCAGTTTCTCTTGTGCTCACACCTACCTCTTAGCAGGAGTATGCCACACATCAGCCTTTCCTTCTGATGCTT